CCGTGCTGTCTGATGGCACGGTCGTGCTGTCTGCAGGTTTTCTTTTCCTTCAAGGCACGCATCACTCTCTTCATTCCGACTTCTAACCAATCTTCTACCTGCACAAAAACACACAAGAGCACACAAAACTCACACAAATTAGGAGCTAAACCAACTACAAAACAAAAGAAACTACTCTAGTAAAAGCAAGAAAATCGGGTTGCCTCCCGGAAGCGCTAAGTTTAACGTCGATAGCTTGACGCAACTCATGGATTACAGGTTACCCATAATCAATACTTGCCATTGCAGTGGAGATAAGCTCACCATTCTTATTCTTGACAATAGTCACCGCCCCTTTCTTAGGTACTACAAACACAGGGGAAACCCTTCCTTGATGTGTTGGAAGGGGTTTAAGCTTTACCTTTGGTGCTTCATTAGCCTCCTTTGCAGTGGCCACATCTAATGCATCTAGAAATTGCTCCTCCATGTCCCTGTTTTCCTTGTTCTCATTCAACTCAAAATCATGATTAGTATAGAATAATTCGTTACGCATATCAGAGACAATGGAATCAACAGTGTCAACCATCATGCAATTATCAGAATTAGAACAAGGATATTTCATAGTTTTATTTAAATCAAAATCTAAAACCTCCTTTCCTACTTTCAATGAAATCTTGGCACCCTTTACATCAATAAGGGCCCCCGAAGTAGCTAGGAAAGGACGTCCTAGAATTATAGGTATATGAACATACTCATCCATATCTAGGACCACAAAGTCAACAGGTATGACAAACTTCCCCACCCTTAGGGGAACATCTTCCACTTTACCCTTTGGAAATTTGATCGATCGATCGGCTAATTGAAGGGATATGTTAGTGGGAAGAAGTTCTCCTATATTTAATCGTTGATAAACAGAATATGGCATGAGACTAACACTAGCTCCAAGATCACACAAAGAATTATCAATATTCATTTTTTTTATAGCACAAGGGATTGAAAAGCTACCCGGATCTCCTAACTTAGGAGGCATTTTGTTCATTATTATAGCACTACAGTGTTCAGTGAGGTTAACAGTTTCTACCCCTTCACAGTTTCTTCTACCACTCAATATATCTTTTAAAAACCTAGCATAGTTAGGCATTTGCTTGATAGCATCAGTGAATGGTATAGAAAGGTGTACTTCTCTTAAGGTCTCTAAAAACTTCCCGAATTGGGCATCTAGCTTATGTCTCACATATTTTTGGGGGTAGGGGAGTCTATGTAATAGGTCGGGTTCATTGGTTTGTGCTCCCACCTGTTCCTTTGGGACCTCATTAATTTTATCTTTTTGTCTGGTCCTCTCATCCTCACTTCCTACAACATTATCAGTGATAGGTGGAGTCACAGGTTGACTCCTAGGGGGTACTACTTCATCGCTCCCCCTCAATGTCTTTCCACTCCTAGTGGTGATAGCATTTACAGAGTTTTTAGGGTCAATACCTTAAGGCGGTAGTTTTGAAACTCCAACCCCATCTTTTATAGCACTAGCCAACTGAGAAATCTGGGTTTCAAGCATCTTATTATGTGTCATCACTTCACTAAACTTTTTATCAGTGGTGGACATAAAAGTGTTGAACATTTTGGCCTGGGACTCCATCATTTCCTCCAAGCTAGATCTCTGTGGTGGTCCATGAGCATAATAATTATCATTTGTAGCTCGGGAACCACGCACATTAGATTGTTGGGGATTTTGATTAGAGTACCCCTTATTATTATTCCAGTTTCCCCTATTATTAATGTCGTTTCCCCCTTGATTGAATTGCCCTAGGGAATTATGATTCATTTGATTACCCTGTTGGTATTGGTTTTGATTTCCAAAACCACCATGTTGATTATAGGGTCCTTGGGAATTTTGGTCCCTTTGGCCCCTATTTCCCCACTGGTTTTGATAATCAAAATCATTACCTCCCTGATTATAATTGTTCCCTCTTTGATTAGGTGGCAGATATCTATTATTGTCATTCCTAGGTCCGTTATCATAAGACATAGCATTGACCTGTTCATTATTATATCTATTACCATCATTATTATTAGGATCACATGAGGGATCAAAATTACAAGTATTAGTATAATGATCATAAGACCCACAGTTTTCACAGAAAATACATCCTACAGGCATATTAGAAACGGAAGGATTAGGATTCATACCTCTCCCCTTAGATTGGGAGGGAAGATCTTGCAATGGCACGGAATCGAGCTTGGCTTTAATCACTGACATCTCCTTCCCGAGGTTCGTAATTTGTGATGTCAGGTTGCTAATGGCATTGAGGTGGTCCACTGAATAGACCGCTCCTCCACTCTTGTTCACAGCATCTCGCTCGCCGTCTTGCCAATCCATGTGGTGTCGTACCACATCTTCGATAATATCTATGACTTGCTCTTCAGTTTTGTTCATTATTGGGTCACCTGCTCCCGCATCCAAACTGGTCTTCTCTTGAGGACTCAATCCTCCATAGAAAATCTGTAAAACTTGATATGTTGGGATTCCGTGGTGTGGGCACTCTCTTTGGTACTCCTTGTACCTTTCCCATGCTTCATAGATCGACTCCCCACTCCTTTGCCGAAACCCTTGAATCAAGGCTCTAGCATCGGCCGTCTTCTTTTGAGAATAGAATCTTCCCAAAAATGCTGTCATGACATCATCCCAAGTGTGTAGAGAGTTCGGCTTCACCTCCTTCTCTAACCATTCGAGAGCTCTCCCAATAAGTGAAAAGGGGAAAAGCTTCAATCTCACGAACTCTTGATTCACCCCATTAACCTTGATGGTATTGCAGTACTTCTCAAATTCGTTCAAATGAGCCAAAGGGCTCTCATGCTTGGCACCACTAAACTGCCTTCTCTCGATGAGGGTGATCATAGCTGGCCGGATCTCGAAATCATTGGCCTCAGTAGTGGGTGGAGCAATCCCACTTGAAGCTCTATACGCCCCAGGAGTTCCCAACTCCTTAAGGGGTCGTGGTGCTGGCCGATTAGGTTGGCGCGGTATGTCTTCCATTGGAACCTGTTGTGTGTTGTGTTCCTTTCCTTGAGAGTTTGATGACGTCAATCGAGATTTACGATTGCTCTTCAAAGTTCTTTCGATTTCTGGATCGAAGGGTATTAATTCTCTCTGTTTAGACCTGCGCATACACACTAACCAAACAAATTAAATAGCAGGGCTACAAGTGTAGCCAAAAGGGAAAAATCTTTTTGTGCTTTTTTTATGATGAACTAGACTCAAGAAATCAAAAAGCAATTAACAAACACTGTTCCCCGGCAACGACGCCATTTTGACGAGGGTTAAAATGGTCGCTACAATCTAACTCTCAATCAAACAATACTTATACGAACACCCTATAACCAAGTACAATGGCAAATAAAGGTTCGGTCCACGAGGAACGAGAGTAATTGCAAATCAATCTTAAACCTAAGCTACTTCGAAATCAATGGAAAATGGTGTTCTAAAATACTACTAATAAGATGGAATAAATCAATAAACTAAGACACTAGGGAGAACGGGAATCCGCCTAACCATTGGTAACTAAGCAACAAGGAATCACAGAGACAAACGGAATATGCAAAGACTATAAGTCTGATCAATATCATGTGATAGGAAGACAACGGGCAATACTAAGCTTGGATTTCTCATGCACTTAACATTACTCGATACATAATCAAACCACATTCAATAATGAAATACTCAATTCACAATCTCTTGTTCAAATCAAGAATATCATGCAATCAAATTCAAGATTCTAGGTTAGCTACTCCTATTATAATGAATTAACATGCAATCGCATATAATCAATTTAATCACAATCCGTTTATCAAAATCAATCCTCAATTACATAGATTACCTAGGCCGGGTTTCATCCCGAAACCCTAGCTAGGAGACTACTCACACATATTCATAATCAAAGCAATAATGAATTCCAAAAGCATAATAGATATAAACATGAATTCTGATTAAGGAATAATAAAGCTTGATTAATAAACAAGAATGAATAATACCAATTGTATTGATGCGAATCAATGGAAAAGTTCAGAACTTTGATATCCGTCGTCAATGAATAATACAAAGAATCTTCGCAAATCTTGCTTCAAATCAATCTAAGAAAACTAAAATCTCTAGAAATATCTCTAAGAAAACTAATGAATCTCTAATACTAAGAACGTTCTCCAATAACTCTCTACAAAGGCTCTCAAAACTATCTCTAAAACTGTCTGAGGAATCCTCTTAAAGTTGGGCCTTATATACGTCTTCTAATGCGGAGAAGTCAAGCGCGCAGTTAACCCTGGATCAGCACGGCCGTGCTGTATTTGGCACGGCCGTGCTAGCTTGTCAATAAGTAAACCGGATTTCTTCTTCAAATTGGCACGACCGAGCTATATATGGCACGACCGTGCTAAAAATGACACGGCCGTGCTGAATATGCTCTAGCACGGGGCTCATACTGAAGCTGACACGGGCACGGGCAACATTTTGCACGGCCGTGCTAATGGCCTGCACGGTCGTGCGGGTGCGTGGATACTGACACGGCCGTGCTATTGGCTTGCACGGCCGTGCTGCCTTGCCTGGGGTTGCTTGCTTATAGGCCAGCACGGGTGTGCCTATGGTAACACGGCCGTGCTGCCTGTGCTATGTAATCAATGCACAACACTTGAACTTCCTTAACTCCTCGGACTCCGGTCAAGGCTAGCTCGGTTACGCATCAAGGGCTTGGGATCCGATTAAACTCGGTTGATATTACCTGAAAACACATCAAAAACAAACCGAAAACCCGTGAAGCACGTAATATAGGGAACGTAAGCATAACAAGGTAATAATCGGCCAAAGCGGCCCCAAATACATCCAAAATCATCCTAAAATATGCTCTAAAGCGCGCCCTAAAGTGCGCTTGTCAAGCTCAGGTTGAGCTCAGGTAATCCTTTTCCTTAAATAATGTGTGACAACTGCCAATACTGAATTTGGCTAGTTAAGTTGGTTTGTAAATTCTGTGTTGATGGTTGCTTACTTTCTTGGTTCAATTCAGTTCTTTTTTTTGTCAAAATCTGTGCAGCTGAATTTGTTGATAAACCTTTACAGGGATGCTGAGATGAAGCAAGATGAGAATGGAATATTTGTTGGGCCATGTAGACACCTGGTTGTGTCTCCCCGAAAACCAAACCCAGTGATGAGTACCTTTCACGTTTTTTATTATCGAGTGAGTTGAAGAGTCTCGTGAATTTTCCTTAAGCCTTGACCTTACCCCTAACCTTTCCTTAAATGTTTAATCCAAAATCATTTATTTTGTGCCCTTAAACCCAAAATCATTCATTTCGTGTCCTCTTTATAAAAACGTCCAAACCAGATTATTTTGGTCAACAATCCTGGTCCAATTATTATGTAGTTGGATGGGGTTTGAAAAAAGCTTTCCAACGATATATTATAAGCCTAAATCTGAGTTATAACGAAGAAGTTATGGCCAAAATACGAAACTGAGCCCAAACCAAACCTTACCTACGACCCAATGACCATGTGGAGGGTCCATTAACCTAAATCTCGTTCATAAACCAATTAGGATTTGTTACAAGTTTCTAGAATCTTCTAGAAGGTTGTTTTCAATCCTAAATCCATTAGGATTTATTATTAGCTTCTAGAATCTTCAAGAAGGTTCTAATTTATCTTGTTTTTCTAAAGATAAAAACTAAGGAATTTTACATTGGATAAAACACTTATTTTTTAATGATTTTAATTCTAATAAAATTAGAATACGTACGGATATTCGATTAACCCAATTTGATTGGAAGTCGGCTTCCGTACGGATTCTATCTTCTAAAAATATCGTGTCGCGATAGAATAAGCCTATCGTGCTGCAATAGAAATATCACATCGCGATAAGGCCTGTTTTACTCCGAGTTGGATTCTAACTCTTTTCAGATCTTTGACCCTCATTTTTTCTTATAAATAGAGGTCGTTTTCCCCTGTTTTCAATCATGAACAAGCTTGATCACCAACAATCATCATCTAATCCTTTTTTTAAGCTTTCTCTCACTCTATTCTTTTCTTAGTCTTTGCTTTAGCCTAGCCTAAACACATCTAAACACACATCCTTGAAACTTTTCCCAAACAAACACCATACTTCCTTTAAATACTCCAAGCCCATTTCGAAGTTGAAGTTGCCTTTGACCTCGACGTGAAAGGTTGATAGTTATGAGGGTTTGGTCCCAAATCTATACTTCAATTCTTAATTGATTTATTTGTTTGATTTAATCTTTCTTGAAGTTTACTAACGTGTGTATTGTTTTGATAGAAAGAGTACGAGTCATCAAAGTAAGTAACTCGATTATTTATTCCTTCGATATAAAAATCATGTTTAGACTTTTATTTTAATTTCTAGTATCATGTTAGGATGTTTCTTATGATTTCTAGTATCATGTTAGAATGTTTATTTTGATTCCTAGTATCATGTTTAGGATGTAAATTAATATTTATAATATCATGTTGGTTTCTAGTATTATATTTAGGATAAAGCTTTGATCTTTATTATTAGTGACATACTAGGATTTGGTATTAATCTGTTTAGTATCATGCTTAGGATCTTGCTAGTTATGATTTTGATTATGGTGATGATTGTTGTGTCAATTATTACATTGCCTGATTATTCTTGATTTATTGTTATTGCTTGATCACGCCATTTCTTGCAGGTTTAAAGGGAATTTGTACTTGAAATCACGCTTAATAAGATAATTAATAATTTGCTTTAGGCTTAGTATGATTTTTATTCAGGTGATAACCAATAATAGATTTGATTGTGCAAATATGCTTAGGATTTATTTATTGTATGTATGTTGATCGGAAAGCGCACATGAATATCATAAGAATTAAGTAGAGGCCAATTTAGGGCGGGTTAATCTCTTTTAGGTTGGATTCGTACCATCATCCCTGAATATCTAGTCATGGTTCTAGACTACTATGGAGTTAGTAATCTTCGTGATTGTGAATGGGGTGTAACCTTCACATCCGTGAACGGTTTACAAGTTCCTAAAACTTATTGACGACTCTTTTATCTCTAGCTTCTTCCCATTTGGACGACACCATGCTTAAATGCATGATCACAGTGGGACTCAAAGTTGATATTTGAAATATTCCCTACAGGCCACCACCTCCCCCTCTTGTCACCGAGGGCTGAATCATCTAATGAAGCTGAGTGTTTTGAAGAGGTTCTGACTGCAACATTTGTTTCTCTCTTGTTTGGTTGTTTTTTTTTTTTCCGAGATGCCTGTTATTGGTTGTTTTACTTTCTGAAGTCCAAATTATGTGTAGTTGCGTACTTTTTATCATTGTAAACTAATATGAGAATTGCTGATAGTCATCAAACTTATGAATGTACTAATTTTGCTAATTTGTTGCATCAGGTCACTGGAATTATGGGAGTGGAGTCGGATAATCCTTATGATATTGTGGGAGTGAATCACAAGATGCCTGCTGCTAATATTAAGAAGAGGTATATGGCTTATAATAGATATAATTTCTTAATGTAATTTTTTGTTGCTGCTGTTAGAATAATTTACTTGTGAGCTGGCAGATATATAATTTTATTGCAAGAATTGTCTTTAGTTTTTACAAATAGATAAATATAAATGTGATGAATCTAAATTTTATTTAAATGTTAAAAATTCATTTTAAAGATTGATTGATATAAGAGGCATACATATGCTACACAAAAAGTGGGACAAGAGATTCATAATCTATATACTAATGGAATGACTGAGTAACTTTCTTTTTGGGCAATGTGTATTAGACCTTGAATTGGCTCTCGTACATTACAATGATCATCGTAGTCTTCTTTGCAGTTTTTGAAGAACACATGTTTAGATTCTTAGACTTGAGTTACGGAGTTTTTTTTTGAAAATTTCTTTTCTTCCAATAATTTTCTGTGTCATCTACTGTATAAATGGAACACGTGGACCATAGAGGATTTCATTTTGTATCTTATTGAGTCTATACGACAGTATCAAGATTGGTTTACCGTGTTTTGTATACAATTTGCCCTGTTTTCAGAGGTGAGGGGGGATATTGCTCTTGCTGCACGTATTGACTTATAAGCCCATACATTGTTAAAGGTTATCCCCTACAATTTACATTAACATATTGGTTGGGGCCAAGAAGGTTATCTTACATGTGATTTAGGTATTATATCCTATATGTTAGGGTTTGCCAGGGTTAATTCTCATTTCCTAGTTGAGCAATATGGAATTATGGACTTAGAGAGTTTGATTTTTAGTTTACATTAACACTATGTTTGGATAACAATAGTGAAGGGAAAGAGAGGGAAAGGAAAAAGAGCGAAGGGAAAGGGAGGCGAGGGGAGGGAGAAGGTGGACTTTCGTTTTCCTTCCATATCTCTCCAATAATGGAGGAATTTAGTTTATCAAAAGGGGAAGGAAAATGGATCCTTCCAATTTCTTCCCCTTCCTTTTTCTTCGCTTCCTTTCCTTTTCATTTTTCTCTATCCAAACATAGTGTAAGGGTTTTGATCATTTTGAGATGAGTTTACTCTAGGGACACAACTTGATGATTTTGTAATAATTACCCGCCTTCCATGTTTTCATTGACATTAATAGTTTTACTTTACATGTGCCTGTTAAATTTTGTGCAATTGCGCTCACTTTATTTTTGGCTGTGATTCTGCTGATTAATTGTAATTTGCTCACCATGTTTTTGGGTGATTTCAGTCATTTGATATGCTAATTCTATCTTGTATAGTAATCATTTCCATTTTGTTCATCACTCCAGGTATTGGAAACTCTCACTTATCTGCAAGATCCAAATAAGGTGTCTGCTGTAACATGGTTTACTTGATTCTATTATCCCAGCCTCATCTATCTATTGATAAAATTGCCCCTTATTCAAATTGTAGACATCATTAGTATCCAATAGGGTATATCAAGAACCTGTTAAATTTTCTGATGTCTAGCCTAAAAAGCGGTGTCCCAAAACATTGAGCTACTGTCTCTAAGAAGCACATAGTGAAAAGCGTTTCTGAAATAAGTTGTGATCAAATGAAAATATTTAGGGGGCGTTTGGTTCGCAAAGTGGTATGGGTTTGGAATCAGGAATGGGGTTAAGGTAGTATCGGGTTGTAACTTGATAGTTAATACCATGTGTTTGGTTCAATTCTGGAATGGAGTCTCTCACTATTCTCTCCTTTTATTTGATACCTAAGGGAATGGAGTCCCTCACTATTCTCGTGAAGTGGTATGGTATTGGGTTCGCCAATTTCAGTTGATTTCAAAGAAGTGGAACAACATGATTTTTTTTTTTAACAGTATTGATTCTAATTAGACGAGAGTTATTGAGAGTGAAGACAGTATGAAGTTTCATTGATGCTTCAATAGGGCATCGAGCAGAGGATTATTAAAGAAGTGTATCTTGCACATCAGACTTTCCTTTTTTCTTTTTTGAATAGAATTAGTATTATGCACTTATGCAGCCTCTTATTGAGTCTTATCTTGTTTTATTTATAGGTTTGGCTATGGAAGGGGATGACGTGTTGCTTGCAGAGTTGGAAGTGAAAGCTCCACCCAAACGAGATGAATGGATGACAACCTTACCTCCTGAGAGAAAGGTATGATTATAAACCTACTTTATAGATTAATATAGTACTGTAACTCTACGTTAATATCTCATTTTTTGTTTATTTTGAAACAAGTTGATTATTCAAATATATTATAATAGGTTAGCATAGGTTTGTTAAACATTAAAATTTTCTTATCGAACCATTTGACAATTTAAATTGAATATATATGTTTGTTGCTTTCTCATTCGGTTCATGGTCTAGCATGTTTCTTGATTTATCTTTAAGTAGGGTGACTATGAGACTATTACTTAGTGCATATATTTAGTAGAGTTCCTTGGTTCATTACAAGTCATTCTTAAGATTTTGTAGGTCATGTATGTTGTATCCTGAGCAATGTGTACTATGCCAAAAACCTTCAGATTAGTTGGGTTTGTGTGATGTTACTTCATACTTAATAATGTAAGGGCTCCTATGCGGCCTCTTAATGTTGCAATTGCTGGCAGATTTTATTGACATTTGATTAGGAAGGCATAAACTAGCATAGTTGCTATCAATACGTAAGAAGCAAAGGGACATTCATATTAATCTGAATGTTGTAATGATTTGGACAAGATTTCATATGTTCTAGTTAAATTTAAATGGCATATTCGCAAAGCTATGAGGGTTTGAGAGTTTTGGTTAGTATTTGAATAGCATTCTGCTTTTGGTTTCACTATTGACAGTATCTAAGAGGACTGAAGCTTATTTAATTTTCTCTCTTGATGCATATGCATCTACTCAGGGTGGAGCCTAGTTATGGGAATTTTCAGACTGCAACATTTAGTTTGTTTTTGTGCCATAGATCAAATCTTATTAATTACTGAGTGGATACACCCTAACTTATAACACCGTTTGTGTTTCTGATTTACCACCTCTTGTATCTTGCTCTGTGACCGAATTACATTTGGTTTCTATTTCAGCGTGGTGGCATGCCTACGCACACTACAAACTTCAGTAGAACTGCTAAAGAAGGGCGCGGCGATACCAGTGCTTGGACAGACACCCCTTCAGGCCATGCTCAGAAGGCGAAGACTAAGTATAAATCTAAGGACATTTGTGCTATTAGTCTGATATATCTTCATTAGTGCTTTGGAGATCTGATTCCTTGTTTCTCTGTCATTTGTGCAGTTACTTAGAAGCCTATAATGTGGCAGCGGCACTTGCTTCTAATGACAAAGATAGGAAAACCTCTGACATTGATGCTGCTTTGATAGACCAATATAATAAAGCCAAAAGATCGAAGACCTTGGCACAGAAGCATCAAGAAGTGTCTCAGAAAAGTCGTTCAAAAAAGAAATCAAAGCTGATGCAGAAACAGGAGGGGGGAGAATGGGTGGGTAATCACCCCTGGAAACCTTGGGTCCGAGAGAAAGATCTCTCAGCTGGACGGCAGGATGTAAGTCTTGACGCTGAGGATATGAAACAGGGTTTGTCTATTAAGTTTTCGTCTGGGTCCTTCCAGAGGTGCTTCCTTTGAATGTAAATTTATGAGTCCAGACCAGTATGTATATTTTTGAAGTTGGAGTGGAAGCGACGTGAGAAATTCATTATTCATAGAAGGTAGAACTAGTGTTGACAAGACTGCCCTTCATAAATTGAAGGCATTGCTCATGACGAAGAAGATATTTTCAAACGCTTTTGTTAAACAAACATGCTAGTGCTGATACAAGCGGCTCAGATTCATCAGAAAGTCCCAGTACTGTAAATCCTAAATATGCAAAATCTATGTCTTCTGCTAACAGGAGATTTCAGTTTCTTAGTACAATATTGAATTATAGTCGTCTCATGTATATATGGACAAAATGTCTATAATTTACTCATTTGTAAAAATTGAGTAAATTTTTTTCCACTCCTTTCACTAATTGTTACCTATGCAAAAAAAAAAAAAAAAAAAAAAACATATTTTGTAAAGTAATGGGTTATAAGAGCAAAATGGATTTAGTCATTCGTGTAGATGACCAATATTAATTTGCTTAGAATTTGTTATATACACCCGGGATCATATGCTCATTTAATCATCAAATGAGCAAATAATTATTGCTTATTTGCTCATTTAATCAACAATTGAGCAATGACCCTGGGTACACCCAGATGTACAGAACATACTCTCTCAATTAATGAACAAACAACAGGTAGTATGGTGAAGATTGAAGATGTTTATTTTTTTAATTTTTTTTTTAATTTTTTTTTAATAATTAAATTTACTTGCTTTTGATTTATTTCATTTTTGGCAAACACACTATATTACAATTATTTAACCCCTGTTATCTACTTAATATTTACACATTTTTATTCAATTTCCCTTACTTTATTCACCATATTCTTACACTTATTCACCTCTCAAAACTTTTTCTCATACTTTATCCACATTTTTTTCCTAAACTAACTTATTACTTCAATTTTCATAGAATCAGGTCGACAATAATGTAGGCACATAAAATGAAAAACATGGGGATTAAAATTTACTGAATTTTCACCATATACCACTGAGTTAAAGCTTAATTTACCATGTACCACCAAAAACTTTCTAATACACCAAATACCATTCAATTTTATGAAAATGTCACAACATGCCATTAATGACTAACAGACATTAACATCGTAAGTCATCATGGCTAATTAGGCCACGTGGCAACATATAATTGGTTCCTTTTTAAAATTGTTTAATTTAATTAACAAAAAAAAAAAAAAAAACAACCACCCACGTCCACCTAACAAGCCACCACCCTGTTCTGACAACGCTCGCTGGCGCGGAAGCCGACGAGCCAATCAGCAGGGTATCTGACCAGTTGACACGAAATCCGCTCAGCCAGCCACCACCACTATCCCACCACCTTAAAACCCTCTCCTTCCCTTAAAAACTCTCGCTCCCCAACCACTGACGCACAAACCGTCGGCGCCCAAACCCCTTCCCCGTGCCGGCAAACCTACATCACCCCTCCCATTTCCAACTCCAGCCCTTTCCCCCCTTTAATCCACCACCCCAAAATCCTAAAATCAAAATCTAGGGTTTCGATTTTGGGTTTTGGGTTGGTTGTATGCAGCTAAATCGGGTGGCGACAACGTGAGGGCGGGGGATCTGAGCGCTGGCGTTGGGTTTCGACATGCTGGTTTTCGGCAAAGATATTTTGGTTGGTTGGTTGTTCGTTCGCCGGGAAGGGAGGGAATTCGAGTTGGGTATGGTGGTTTAGTGGAGGAACGCGTGCACCGACGCAGGATAGGGAGGTTGTGCAGCGCCGTTGCGGTGGGGAGAGCAGTTTGGAGCCGGCGACGATGAGTAAGGCTAGGTGGCGTTTATGGGTGGTCGGGATGGTGGCTGGGCAGTAAGTGGTGGTGGTGGGTTTTTTTTTTTTTTGATAATTTTTGTAAAAAGTTTTTTTTAAAAACTAATTAATTAAAATAAGAGCCAATTAGAGGCTGCCACGTGGCTTAATTAACTAAGAATGACTAACGGGGTTAAGGAAAAGGGCATGTTGTGACATTTATGTTAGAATCAGTGGTACATGGTATATTAGAAAGTTTTTGGTGGTATATGGTGAATTAAGCTTTAACTCAGTGGTATATGGTGAAAAATCCGTAAAATTTATCTTCCTTTCTTACAATATATAAATTGGCTCCACTAAATTCTCTTTATTTTAGTCTCAGCTCGTGAATCAAACAGTCATACACTCGTATTACTTCGTCTTATATATCTTAAACCGTATGTACTTTATACAATGTTAAGGGGAGCTTGTTATATACACCCGGGTGTACCGTACACCCATGGGTATTTTGTTCTCATTTTGATGATTTTTTTTTATTTAATCATCAAATGAAGAGCAAACACTAACCTTGGGTTAGTTGGGTATACGGTACACCCAAGTGTATATAACAAATTCTAAATACTAAGTATTGCTATTAATTTGAAAAGGATTAAGTACCAAGTGGTTAATGTCTCACTTGATAAAAAAATTTCACAAACTATTGGGTGCAAACGTCCGCACCCAATAGTTCGTGCGGGCAACCTATTTCCCCTTCAAACACAATTGAAACTTAACCATTCATTTCAATTATCAAAGAAAACTGAGATTTTAGGGCTCACAATTCACAGAATAACATCATAATGCTTGAATCAGCCAAACAAATCGAAGAAAATGATTTATTTTCTGGTTAAATCGAAGATGACGATAACGATGACGATGACGGAGACGAAGGTGAAGCGGTTATACGATTTGCGATTTGTGGTTGGCGATTTGCGATCTGCGGCTGTTGTGGTGGTTGCTATTTGCAGGAGATGGTGGTTAATATGCGGCTGGTGGGTTGCGAAGTGGGGTAGTGAAAGATTGGTGGCGAGTGCGGCTGGTGGAGGATCGATTGGTGGTCGGTGCTCGGTTAGGGTGGCTGAAATTGGTGCGTGCAGGGCTGTTAGGTGGTGAGACAGGGGCGTCCGGGCGTGGATTGTTGATTGGTGGGAACGCTGCTGCTGCTGCAGCGTGAGGGCGGCGAAGTGGGTGGTGGGGGCGGTGAAGAGTGAGGGAGTGAGCAGAGCATTTCGTGTTTGGTGTTTGATTTTGAGCATTTTGGGTTGGCTGATACATTTGAAAGAGAGAGAAAGAAAGAGAGAAAGAAGGGGAAAGAGGAGAGAGAAGAAAATAAAAATATTGTATGTTGTTAATCATATTAGCCAATAAATAATGCATATCAGCCAATTGATGTCTAATATCAGTCAATATTAGAGACATATCAAACATTAATAAAAAAAACGTATCAGTCAACAAAAGGAATATATTAGCCAACAAGAGAAGTATATCAGTCAACAAAAGGTACTTATCAATGAACAGAAGGAACATATCAGCCAACAAAGGATGCAACATCAGCCAACAAAAGGATGTAATCAGCAAACAAAAGCAACAGGTGAGCCAACAAAATAAACATATCAGCCAACAAAATGAAACATATAAACCAACAATTAAAATATACATATCAGCCAACAAAATAAATATATAAGCCAACTAAAGAAACATATAAGCCAAATGATGTCTGATATTAGCCAACAAAAGGAACCTATCAATATTTTTTAAAAAAATATCAGCCAACAAAAAGAATATATTAGCTAAGACAAAAATCATATCAGACAACAAATAAAACATATCAGCCAACACATGAAACATATCAGCCAACAGGTAAAACATATCAGCCAAGCTAGCCGCACGAAAATTTATTAGCTAAGACAAAAATCATATCAGCCAACAAATGAAACATATCAGCCAACACATGAAACATATCAGCCAACAAGTAAAACATATCAGCCAAGCCAACCGCATGGAAATTTATTAGCTAAGACAAAAATCATATCAGCCAACAAATGAAACATATTAGCCAACATATGAAACATATCAGCCAACAAGTAAAACATATCAGCCAAGCCAGGCCAGTCACACGGAAATTTATTAGCTAAGAAAAAAATCATATCAGCCAACAAATGAAACATATCAGCCAGCACATGAAACATATCAGCTAACAAGTAAAACATATTAGCTAAGCCAGCCTCACGGAAATTTGGGTGTGGACGTCCGCACGCAATAACTTCACAAAAATTTTTACTATCGTGTGAGGTTGAGGTCTGGTCATATACATGACGAGTAGTTGTAAACATAAATTTTTTTTATCATATAATTTTGGTTTTCAAAATCAAATTAGCTTCTAATTTTGTAATAATTCACTAGTAGAAAAAGTGAAATAGGCAACGCACTTTTCGCACCGGTTCTTGAAAACCGGTGGTAAAAGAAATGGGCGGGATTGGGAAAAGACTTTTCGCACCGGTTTAAACCGGTGCCAATTAAAAAAGAGAAAAAATAAATGGAGAAAGGGATTTCGCACCGGTTCTGATGTATGAGTTTTATACCATGTTTTTTCTCGGTTTTACAATGTATATTTGCATGGTTTTAGGCTCTATGGAGCCATTTCTCCCTAACAATCTCTTCTCTAGTGTGTTCGATGTATCTTTATTGAGTTTCATAGGAATACAGAGTTTCTTGTACGAATCGGACGTGTTTTGGATAGTTATAGAAGAGGTTGGTGTATGAATATGAAGGTTTCCCCCATGCCCTGTTGACCCTAGCTTGCCCGGTCATACAGGGCAAAGAAGGATGAGCTAGCTACAAAGTATATGCTCTAGACTCTACGTGCCCGGTCGGGTACCCCTCGCCCGGTTGGACCGGGCACTGAAGAGTTATAATTTTAGCATCTCAAGCAATCATTTTGGAGTTGCCTTGCGCGCCCGATCAGGTATGGTTCGCCCGGTGAGATCGGGCACAGGAAGAAACAAGAAGGCAACGAAGAACAAGAGGCGTCGTACTCCAGCCGCCCGATCTGGCACCCCTTGCTCGGTTGGACCGGACACTCTTTTGCGGAAACCGATTTGCTTATTTTCGCAATTCTATCTTTTTGGGGGTATAAATACACTATTAGAAAACACATTATTATATCCTCTAGTTT